AACAAAACTGAGTACCACAACAACAACCACAACAATACACGAGAATACGACAAGTAAATCAACCCAAGAGCTTTAGAACATAAGAAGCAGTAGAACAAGCTCACAAAGAATAAACAAAATAGAGAATACTAGTCTCAATAAGAATAACTCAACAAGGGAGAAATAGTACGTAACATATGATTCCACAAGAGCACAATTCGACTCCACAAAAGTACAATTCGAAAACAAGGGAGATAACAAGAGTCAATAATTCCAAATAAGGATGAGGCAACTACGATAAAGGATAAGTAACTTCATTTAGGGTTGAGCAATTACGAAAGAGATACAACCAATTCAATTAAGGATAAGCAACGGAAAAGATCATCATAATCTCAGTTAAGGATGGACAATTACAGAATAGATAATAATAATTTCAATTAAGGATAACAATTAGGAAAGGATAGCATGGCAATTGAAGAGGCAACAACTTCAGTTAAGGCACACGAGCGTCAAATAGGCAATAAGAGTGGAATATGAAATAATTAATTCCAATTAAAACACGTAGAGGTAAAACTAGTAAATGGGGAACTTAATCATAACAAAACAACTTCATATCTAGTGAACATAAGGACCTAAGAGCCTTAAAAGGTCAACTTTCCATAAATAAGCCCTAGCACGTACTCGTCACCTCGCGTACACAGATTTTACATGATACAATTAACATCAAAGACTCAAATCCTAAAGGGTTCCCCACACAAAGTTAGACAAGATACTTACCTCAAGGAAGATAGACTGCTACTCTAAAATAAACTTCTCGAGTGAAATAACCTCCTGACGGCCCAAGTCTAGCCAAAATAACTTCAAATCATAAATAAAACTCATAAGAGACAATCTCGAATAATAAAGTCTCGATCTTTAACAAAAACTAAAAAGTCAACCCCCGGGCCCGCACCTCAGAACCTGACAAATTTCACAAAACCCGAACACCCATTCCGATACGAGTTCAACCATACCAAAATTATCAAATTCCGATACCAATTCGTCCCTCAAATCATCATTTTGCATTTTGAAAGATTTCTTCAAAAATTCCCATTTTTCTCAACTCAAAACACTAATTATAAGATAAAAATAAAGATGGGATCATGGAATATAATAAATTTGGGGTGAAGAACACTTACCCTAATGGTTTGCTTGAAAAACCCAGGAAGAATCGCTCAAAACCGAGCTCCACAACTCCAAAAATGATAAAAATGGCTAACCCTCGAAGACGAACTGCGATCGCGAAGAAGGAAAGGTGCACTGCCAGAAATTGTACTACGCGATCGCGAATAGGTACATGTGATCGCGTAGAAGGAAAGCACTGATGCCCCAAGAAACGTACTACGCGATTGCGAAACAGGGAATGCGATCGCAAAAGGGAACCAGCTTGGGCTATGATATGCGAACGCGGACCGGTAAACGCAAACGCATTGAAGGGGGGATGTACGCTTACGCGATTGCGGACAGTAGTATGCGAATGCGAAGAAATATTCCTGCCTCCAAAATTACACTACGCGAACACGGAGGAATTGGGGCGACCGTGGAGGAATTGGCGCGAACGCGATTAAGGAAACCAGATACCAGCAAAACAACAGTCCAGCAACATAGAGAAATGGCCTGTAGCCTATCCGGAACACACCCGAGGCCCCTGGGACCCCGTCGAAACATGCCAACAAGTTTCATAACTTAACACGGACCCCCTCGAGGTCTCAAATCACATCAAACAACGTCAAAACTACGAATTGCACCAAGAATCAAACTTATGAACTTTCAAATCTTCCAATTCCAAAACTCGTACCGAAACATACCAGATCAATCCGGAATGACGTCAAATTTTGCATGAAAGTCTCTAATGACATAACAGAACTTATGAACTTTCAAATCTTCCAATTCCAAAACTCGTACCGAAACATACCAGATCAATCCGGAATGACGTCAAATTTTGCATGAAAGTCTCTAATGACATAACAGAGCTAACCAAGCTCTCGAAATTGCATTTCGAGCCCGATATCATGAAAGTCAACTCTTGGTCAAACCTCTCAACCTTCCAAAACTTCAACTTTTCCAACTTTTGCCGAAACGCTTCAAATTAACCTACAGATCTCCAAATCCAAATTCAGACGTACGCCTCAGTACAAAATCACCATATGAAGCTCCTGGAGTCATCAAAACCCCATTCCAGTGTCGTTTACACAAAAGTCAAATTCCGGTCAACTCTTACCGCTTAAGCTTCTAAAACATGAATTCTTCTTCCAAATTGACTCCGAATCATCCGATAACTGAACTCGGCCACGCACGCAAGTCATAACACATAATAAGAAGCTGCTCAAGGCCTTAAGCCGCCGAGCGGGATGTTCATTCTCAAAACAACCGGCCGTAGCGTTACAGTGTTCAAACTATAACTTTGTGTGTCTCTTAGAGGTTATACTTAGAGCTTATATCTGTGAGACTCGTATGATTTTGAAAACTTTCAAACATGTCTCTGCCTTATCTATGTGTTCTTTCATCTCCCGAACCTCATATGCTAGAAGGTTACTTAGGAAATCCTATTTTGGTTTGTTGGTAAATGGTAACTTTAGGAACTGAACTTTTAGTATATATGTGTTCCTTGGCACGCCTTGAATTTATGAAATGAAGGTTGTATCATCAACTTATCATCAGTTGTTGAAGTTCCCAACACAAGATCAAGCAAATCAAAGGTGATCAACTTGCAACAAGAGAAATGAATACAGTAACCTTATCCAGCAGCAAGGCGGAAGGAGCGAATAAATAGCAACTACGTGAACCGGTATCCTCTTCTATTCCGGTTGAAGGTGATGGGGAAGAGGAGTCATCGGATTTTTATCAGGTGTCGTAATCTTTCCAAGTACCGGAGGAAGTAGATGCTTCAAAGTCTACCGCAGAGGTACTGGAACAAATTGCTTTGTTTGCAGAATTCCCAAATAAAAAAGGTTTACCTAGGAACGAGATTAAATCCCAAACTCTGGCTTAAAATTATTGAGTTTTGAAAGCTAACTTTGATTGCTTTGCATGCTCTCATATGACAGGTATCCCATTAGATGTGGTTGTCCATAAGTTAAGGTTGGATCCCAATTTTCCGCCGGTAAAGCAAAAGAAACGGCTGATAGCCGATGTCAGGAACATGTTTGTTAAAGAGGAGGTAACCCGATTATTAAATATAGGTTCAATTCGCGAGGTAAATTATCCTGACTGGCTAGCTAATGTAGTGATTTTTTCTAAGAATAATAAATTTAGAAGGGAAATTACCAGCTATGTCCATTTATAAGTAGCTCATTACAAAATTTGGCCAATTGATAAAATATTACTAATATTAGCCAAATTAGCCAATTAGCTATTTGTAGCAAAAAATATCAAATTTTTGCTTTGTTTTGAGTGGGTGTTATTATAATAGATTGGGCACAACTTAAGGAGCTTGAATCTCAGTTTTGGGATGATTTGGTGAAGTTTTGAGGTGGTTTGAATTGAAAATTCGAAGTAAAAGTTGAACATGAAAAAAAATGATATGTGTACCACACTGTGTATCATTTGTGTATCACATATGTATCATATTTGTATCAATTGTGTATGACATGTATATCCATGTATACCTGTGTGTGTGATACATGCGTGATACATGTGTCGCAGAAGACTTTTTTGAACTCGATTTAATTACGAATTTTGATACAAAACCAGTCCAAATCACCTCCAATCTTCCTCAAATTTTGTATATTGACTTATCTATATATTTTCAATGAATTTCAACTATACCCATCGAAAAAGTTCCTTTTTTGTTTAGATTTTTGGAATATTGTATAGATTTTTGTATTTCATCACCTTATTTGCTACCCCGTCCATGAAATTTCCTTTCCGTCTTGTGTCTAATGTTGCTAATCACGCTTAAAAATATGGAAGGTGATTTTTGCATGTGATTCTTTGAGAGAAAGAACCCTATTATTTGGTTTTTTAATTTTTGTTGGCTAGTTTTGGTAAGTCTATGACTAATGGCTAGAGGTTGGTAAGTTGAGATTTATTTGGGACATTTGTGTAAGTTTCCCAATTTAGAATGTGTGTAGATTATAAAGATTTGAATAAGGCATTCTCTAAAAACTCTTTCCTGTTACCGAACATTGACTAAATGATCGATGCTAACAGTCGGGCATGAGTTAATGAATTTTTTTACGCGTATTCTGGGTATAATCAAATTAGGATGCACCAAGAGGATCAAGAAAAAACCTCGTTGATCACAAATTTTGGCACTTATTGCTATAGTATGATGCCTTTCGGGCTTAGCAATACCGGAGTCACTTATCAAAGGCTTGTTAATGAAATGTCGAACGGCAAATTGGTAAAATTATGAAAATTTATATTGATGATATGCTAGTTAAGCCTCTTTCATTCGACTCGTTTACTAGAGATGTTCGACGTTTTGATGAAATACAGTACTCAGCTCTAATGCAAACATTACAGGCCCATTTCCCAGATTAGAATATCAAAGTTTCGATCCCTCTTTACGTATTCAACCTTCCTTTTTGAGCATATGCGCAACCACTTTGTGTTTTGACCCACCCTTTTTCATCACTAAGATGTCTTGGATAATCATGCCGAAACTAGGTAATAACATACCTTAAATTTTGTTTGCAATTTTAATTGATATTTTTGGTATTGTCGTTTATACCTTTATATTAGTACTTCATTTTTATATCGCCTGCCAATCATCAATCAACTTTACTAAAACACGATTTGCTATTCCACCCTCATGTTCGAAAAAAATTCACCCTCATGCATTTTTAAAAGATTAAAATAAAAAAAAGTTATAAATAAAAGCTAATCCTTCTTAGAACTTTAATTGAGATTTTCAGCGTTTTCGTTTTATTATCCTGCCGATTACCAATCAATTTTACTAAAAAAAATGATTTGCTAATTCACACTCGAGCTTTAACAAAAAATCAAAGAATTGCACATTTTCTAAAGAGAAGACATGATCTTGTAAATAATTTGAACTACTCTTTGTAATTCCGGCATTCTCTGAAGATCAAAAAAGCTAAAATAAGGGACCTAAAAAAACTACAAAAAGAATTAAAAAAAAAAACTTGTTTATTTCCTATGTTCTAACTCTAGATTTTTTTTGTTTAGGCCCACTTTGCCAAAAGTGACATACAACCAGCCCCAAGAAGAAGAAAAACGTTAGCTCCAATTTGAAGTTTTGGACTATCTTGCATTCTACTGCTCATAAAATCTGCTGCAAGGAGATCCACTAAAGCCATGTAAACCAAAATTCCAGCAGCAATTGAATTGAAAATGCCCTCAACCATGAGAGCTGTTGGACTTGTCTCACTGTACACTGTTGATATTCCAAAGCCAATTGCAATTCCCATTGGTGTTGTCAGGGAAAAGAAAATTGCCATTATTGCTGTTTTTCTTACCTTGAATCTTGCCTGTTCATGCAATCATATCAAAATAATTTAGCCAACAACTTATGATATCCCAAAAAGAACTTATGCTTTAAAACTCTTTTTCTCTAAATGTCTTTTTTTTTTTGGTTTCTCACCCGTTGTCCGGTACTACATTGGGGCCCGACTAAATCCGGATTCGCATCGGGAAGTCCCACATTGCGGTAAAGCGTTCCCTAACAAAGGCGACTCCATATCTAGGGGCTCGAACTCGAGACATCTGGTTAAGGATGAAGGAGTATTTAGCACTCCACCACAACCCTTGTTGGTCTTTTTCTCTAAATGTCATTGTTTATACACAATATCAAGATTTTATAAAACTTATGAATTTATCCCTTTTTTTTTAAATCATGATGTTCACGTCAGCTTGCTCGCACCTCATCTAATTTCACGAGAATTTATAAGTAAAATTTATTTTCAGAGCTCAAGATAGTATACCTCAGATATGCAACCTCCTAAACCCATGCCTTCAAAAAGTTGATGAAAAGTTAATGCCGCTACAAGGGGTTTAATTGTCTTGGGAGATTCTGAGGCACCCAAAGATACACCAATAATCACCGAGTGGACCAAAATTCCCAATTCCAAAACCTGTTAAGAAAAAGAAAAAGAAAAACATATGAGTGCTAACATTTCAATCACAAAAAAATTTAAATAGGCAAAAATCAATAAAATCTCTTTGTTCCGTTTTTTTTCCTTTGCCACTTGATTGCATATTCGCTTTATACAACTTGTAACTTTATCTCCACTTCCAATTTAGGAACCGTTTCACATATCCAACACTACTTATTTTATGTTAAAACAATGTTTTGTATCTCAAATTAAAGAAAATACTAGCAAAACTTCCGTCATTTTTTATGCAATTATTTCTGTCTCTTAATATTATTTTATGACGCACATATATCCTTGTCAATTTTGTTGGTTTCCACCCGATATTCTGTACCCCATTGCATACCGGACTAGTCCTGATTGGAGCCCATAAGAGCGCTTCCTATCATAACTCTCGACGGTCAAAAAGGCCTGTCAATTAACTCTAATGACTCGCAAAAAATTACTCAAAAAAAATAGGGCATACGGGAATTAAGGGGATTTTGATGAATCTAGATATATGTACCTGTGAGATAACTCGTCGACGAGATAAATCCAATTCAGAACCCTCTTCTAATGGCACAACCGAGCCATGAGCATGTCCATGAGTTGAATGAGTATGTACATGAACATGATTATTCTGATTAATTATACCACCACTCTCTTTTTCTTCATCACTATTCACAGGTTTTTGTTTCTTTAAATGAGATCTCCTAAAATAACTCATAGCTACCAAATCCACCATCATTGTCCCAATTGCCGCAACCATTGCTATAAACCCAGCAAACGGGAAATCACCCCACGGTTTTTCAGGAAGGCAAGGGCTAGATAAGCTCTCGAATGCATCGGGCAATATGTGAACGAAACCCGTGGCGAGAATCACGCCCGCCGCGAAAGCTTTGACGAAGAAAAATATATTGTTTTCTGGGTGTAATGCCGGGAATATTTTGCCGAGAATTGGAATTGATACACCTATGGCGCCCGCTAACAAGATCGAAGCAACGGCTACCAATTTGTATTTTAACGCTTCTGTTTTGTTTCTGTCCTCAGAATCTTCATCGCACGTACATTCGGATGAAACTAAAATTGGGAACAAAAACAGAAGAAAAAGCGAAAAAGCAACCACTTTGCTCATGGTTGTAGTACAAAGAGGTAGAGAGAAGTTTTGGTGGGGCTTTAGAAAAGATTTGTAAGGTTGTATATATAATGAATAAAAACAAAGTTGGGGTGGGGTAGAGGGGTAAAGATTGACCGATGCTGAAAATAAGGGGAAAAGGTTACTGAACTGTGCTAAGAAAATTGAGAAAACATGGCGACATCCAAAGCCATGCAGAAGAGGAAGTGTAAGGCTAAGAAGGAGAGTAGTGGACAATTGTCAATTCTAGTTGGGAAAATGACGACATAGTGAGTTATATATAAGTAAATAATGATGTGGGGTCTAACAACCGTAAAAGCTCTTAATTTGTGATTATCTATTTGTTATGTAATTCACTTCTTCTTGGACTATAATTAATTTGTAGACTCTTTGGTGTTAAATACTTCTTATTCTATGTGTAAAGTAGGGCTGTCGATGGATATTTAAAAATCGACTAAATCGATCGAATCGTACCATGCCGAACTGATTTTTTGGTTTTTTAATAAAATGGTAAATTTTTATATAAATCTATAAACGTACCGATAATTAGGGTAAGTTTATTATTTTATGAAAATAAACCGAAAAATACCGAATAAATTTATAATGTGAAAAATATATTAATATGTTAAATTAAAAAGTTATAAAACATTAATTTTTTTCTTGGGCCTTGAAATTATGAAATATTTACAAGCCAACAAGTAATTAAACTCAAAATCCTAATTCCCAAATCTATTATGCTACTTCTATTAAAACTAAATTATTTTCAGCATATTCACTAGCAAGACACAAGGTATTGTAGCGATTAGGAGTATCAACCTACAATGTATTGAATATATTTCCTTTCGTATGAATTAGATTTATCTTTTTGGAATGTTTAATCTTCTATAGACTTTATTCTTGAATCCCAACTTGGTTAACATTTTCCCACTCATGTGATTTATATTTTCGTTATATTTGTTTAGTTTCGTTTACGCTGCTGTAGAATATTTGATGGATCTATACTCTAGCCATCTTTCATATTTTCTTAATTCATCACCTTTTAAACTGTAAAAATATCTACAGAGTTTGGCTAAGTCATATAAAAGTACGTATGTTATTGCATTCTACTTCTACTAGTGACTTTTACATGATATTTAAAAAAATTACCGAAAATTTATCAAACTGTATCGATACCGAAGAGAAATCGACATGATTGGGACGGTTTCAAAAAATCTAATTTTGATTATACATAATAGAATAACTGAAAAATTGGTATGATACAAAATTTATAAAATAACCAGCCGAACCGAACCATTGACACTAATATGAAAAGGAATTTGCATTTTACGTTTTACCTACTGATAGCCATTTAATTATTACACCTGAATAAAATATATAAAAAAAATCTTAGCAGAACGTTGTGAAAAATCCCTATGGTTATGCATATTAATTGAAAGAGTTTCCTACTAAAAAAGAGTAAATCAGTTTACCACTTTAACATTTATTAAGTTTAGGAATACCGCTTGTATGGGTCAAAATCTGACCATAGGATATTCTTAAAAAGAACGACAAGGGGCCGACCAAGTCGTGATCATGCCCGCGGGACGTGATAGCAAAATAACACCTCGGTCATTGCCGAGGTCAAACCGTCGGAAAGCTTACATCGCAGAACGAGCGTAGTATTTGGGCGAGCGACGAAGGATACAATCAGCAGAAAGTATGCCGGTCAAGGACCGTTGGATAAAAGGAAAAACTGTCAATATATATAGAGGGGGAATAGAGCCCAAGGGGGGGGGGGGGGGGGTACTTTTCGATAGTCATCACTATGGAATCATCGAGAGGAATCTCCTGGTCATGAATAGTTCCTGGGCTTTCCCTTCTTGGCGTCTACGGTTATGATACATTCCCATCACAGATGTAAGCCGGTTATTCACATTCGATGTGCATTGATTATTTTAAGGAATATTATACATTCTTGTTCTTCTCCTATGTTTGCATTCGATATATATTTGGAGCTGGAGTTAATTATGTTTGGCTAAGATTTACCTTCTATATTTCTGATAACTAGTGTAACAAAAGGGTTTATAACACTTTTTTTGGGTTAACCAATTTGGTGCCGTCTGTGGGGATTTCTTAGCCAAATTTGTTAGTTTCCTTTAGATCCAGAATCAGCAGAATATCACTACCAGGTTGTCATGCCTTACCTTCTCGACTCTACCACCCACTCGAAAAAGTGGTAGGTAAGCCTTCGAGACAACCGTACCAATCTAGGTCAATACGCTACCTAAAGGAGAAGTTATAACCAATATCTATGAAAAACCCACTTCTTGCCCGTAATAGTAGGTTTGACACGACGAACGCACGTTCAAAATAGGATCCCAAGTCACCTAGCGTAACCACAGCCCCATTCGGCGCATTCACCCTATATATGGGCCCGTACTCCCATCCTTGTGAAGGGACAGCAGCTTGCTGCGCGGTTTTCTGAAAGAAAGGGCACAGCCTACCCTATTTTCACATTGCCACACTCACTAGATCGTCTATGAACAAAGTATGACATATTTCTCTTGTTATTGGCACAAATCGGATGAGATCGGGTCGGGACTCGATTTCATCACATCAGCGAATGAGGCGGGTCCAAACCATGCGGAACCTAGGCGCTAGTAACACGGAGCCGAACACGGCCGCCAAATCTGAAACCACCATCCGAGCACCAGGCGGAGCGAGTAACACTACAACGTCAATCTTTCTTTCACTGACTCGTCAGGCCGAGGTAACAAAAATTTTCATTCTGGTTTATCTTCACTCCTTTATCGGTTCAAACAGGTGAATGCAAGCACTCGCGCGGGCAAGCAAGCAAAGGAGCATTCCAACTAGAAATAATGGAAGGAAAACTACTACAAAATGATCGGAATATCACCTGCCTCAATTACTTCGACTTCTGAAAGAGGACACCCCTCAAGTCATACCCTTTTGGCGAGGCGACGAACATGACGTGTCCAAACTCAAGTATGGTTCACCGTCCAGCCTACCGACTGCTTCTCCAGGCGGAACGGTGAAGGGACCAAATACATGAAAACTACTCCAATATATGTATGAAACGAACATGTACAACATTCTCCAGTGAATGAAATAAAGCAACATTTCGTACTCTCCACCAGAGTATTCTCCAATGCAAGCGAAGTTAAGAAAAACTGGGACTCACCCAGAAAACGCATAGTGTTCTTCAACGCAAACGAAGTTAAGCAAAACTAGGACTCACCCAGGGAACACCCGACATCCTCCTATAAAAACAAAACCAAGCACTCCGAGACCACCCCGATGCATATATAAATAGTATGGCAACCTGTAAAGCTCCTAAAATCAACGACAATGAGATAATGGGTTAACATTTCGACCTCAGCTCGAAATAACACCCTTACGGCCAACGGCCGTCGCAAAAAGAAGAATTCGACCTTGCTCGAATTGTAATAGGTTAACATTTCGACCTCAGTTCGAAATAATACCCCTACGGCCAACGGCTGTCGCCAATTGAAGAATTCGACCTCGCTCGAATTGTAATGGGTTAACATTTCGACGTCAGCTCGAAATAACACCCCTAGGGCCAACGGCCGTCGCCAATTGAAGAATTCGACCTCGCTCGAATTGTAATGGGTTAACATTTCGACCTCAGCTCGAAATAACACCCTACAGCCAACGGTGTCGCCAATTGAAGAATTCGACCTACGACTCTAATTGNGGATTTTGTCCAAATACCTTTGCATCCTGTCTTCTCGGACCTCGTAGCTCCCATTTACCTGATTACTACCAGGAGTGAATCGCATTTTGCTTCGACAGTCTCAACTCCCAGGCTTTTGGCCAATTCTAGACCTGCAATCATAGCCTCATACTCGTCTTTGTTGTTAGTCAATCTTGCAGTTTTTATAGATTGCTTGATTACAAACTCAAGTATGGTTCACCGTCCAGCCTACCGACTGCTTCTCCAGGCGGAACGGTGAAGGGACCAAATACATGAAAACTACTCCAATATATGTATGAAACGAACATGTACAACATTCTCCAGTGAATGAAATAAAGCAACATTTCGTACTCTCCACCAGAGTATTCTCCAATGCAAGCGAAGTTAAGAAAAACTGGGACTCACCCAGAAAACGCATAGTGTTCTTCAACGCAAACGAAGTTAAGCAAAACTAGGACTCACCCAGGGAACACCCGACATCCTCCTATAAAAACAAAACCAAGCACTCCGAGACCACCCCGATGCATATATAAATAGTATGGCAACCTGTAAAGCTCCTAAAATCAACGACAATGAGATAATGGGTTAACATTTCGACCTCAGCTCGAAATAACACCCTTACGGCCAACGGCCGTCGCCAATTGAAGAATTCGACCTCGCTCGAATTGTAATGGGTTAACATTTCGACCTCAGCTCGAAATAACACCCCTACAGCCAACGGGTGTCGCCAATTGAAGAATTCGACCTCGCTCTAATTGTAATGGGTTAACATTTCGACCTCAGCTCGAAATAACACCTCTACGGCCAACGACCGTCGCCAAAAGAAGAATTCGACCTCGCTCGAATCCTAATGGGTTAACATTTCGACCTCAGCTCGAAACAACATCTCTACGGCCAACGGTCATCGCCAAAAGAATGATTCAATCTCGCTCGAATTTTAATGGGTTGACATTTCGACTTCAGCTCGAAATAACACCTCCACGACCGCCGGCCACAGCTAAATAAAAGGAAAAATTCGACATCGTTCAAGTTGGACGGCGTCTTCGCCCAAAAGGGCAGATCCAAAATCAACCTCATTCGAATCAAGGATGATACTGCCTAGAGCGATAAGTCGGAAGTCAACCTCACCCGAGCGTGTGAGTCCAAAGAGACCTCATTCAGACTTACGCGACAAGACCTTCCTCGATCCGATCAAGGTCGAATTCCCCAAATAAAAAAAAATCAGGGATTCATCACAGAAAACCCAAAGGTCTACGCCAAAACGAAAAGATGTAACAAGCAAGGAGAAAAGAAGGAAAATCAAAGGATGTACAAAGGAGAAACAACTAGTTTATTTATATATACGCGCGTAAAAGTCGTACTTACAAAAGGCCAAAATGGGCCCCCCCAAAAAAAAGAGGAGACAAACATGAACAAAAAATACTAAAGCAGCAGCAACTTTTCACTCGGTGTCATCACCGCCGTCCTCACCGTCATTGTCTTCGGGAAACTCCTCCTCAGCATCAGCGTCTTCCCCGGCCTCCAGTGTCGCAGGGTCGTAGCCGCAGTTGACACGAGCCTCTCGTGCCTTCGCCCGGGCTTCCTCGTAAGCAGCCTCAGAAATATTGCCCATCTCCTACAAACCCTAGTATATGTCTTGTTGGGCCTCAGCGTGGACCCAATCATGCAGGTGATGAGGAACGGCGGCGGGGACGGATTCAATTTGAGCTAACAACTGCGCCCTCTCAGCCTCGAGCGCCGCGACCAGGTCCCCTAGGCTCGAGGCCTCCCAATCAATTTCGCCGATGCGCTCCTCGAGCCTCGCCTCCCTTAGCGTGGCCGTCACTCGCTCGGACTCCTGCTCAGATTGAAGGACGCGGATAGTGTCCTCTAATGCCGCCGCCCTTGCTAAAGCTGACGCCCGAGCATTCTCGGCACCCTCTAACCCGGCCGCTTTTCCCTCCAGCTCGGCTAACTTACCCATCCATTCCGCACTCAAAGCCTCAACCCTGGCAGCGTTCTGATCAAGTTCGGCTTGCAACGACAACACCTTCGCCTGAAGATGCTCGCACTCTGCGGCAACCCCCTTTCCCAACTCCAGCTTTTCGTCCTTGGCACGAAGCAGCTCCTCGAGCTCACTACACCTGTGAATGGACTGCATCAGCTCCTGATCCCTTTTCTCCAACTCCTCTCCAAGGGAGTGGGTGCCAGTACCCGCCCTGAGCCGCTCATGCATCTCACGGAACCTATTGCAATACCGCCTATACTTCTCAAGCATCATTAGAAAGATCTTGGCCCGAGTCTCGGCCCTGCGAGCACTCTCGATCTCCAGCATATAAGACTGAAAACAAAGAGAGGAAGATAGTCGATAAGGGCCAAAATTAAACGAAAAAGCAACGAACAAAGGGAAAGATATAGAAAGGAACTCACCCTTAGGCCCATCGCAACCACTCCACGTGATAGTTCAACGTCACTGACGTCCTAAAGAGCTCCACTCTCCGTGGCCGAGCATAAGAGATCAAACTACGACACAAAATCCACCGTGTCTTGCAAAAGGTTGAGGTCCGACGGAATCTCGAGTATCCGAGAAGGACCTCCCGCTCTTACCACGACCCTCCTCGAACATCCTAACATCATCAGGATCGAGGTCAGATTCAGATTTGTAGTCATCGACCATGATGCCTTTTCCTCTCTCTTCAGCCGAAGAAGAATTGCGATTCGGCCGGGATGTCGAAGGGCCGCCCGAAACAGCAGCGGCGGCCTCAGGACTCCGTCTCTCCACCGCATCGGCCTATTGATCTCTCACAACAGGCGTAGCCTCTACGACCAGGTTGATATCACCACCAGCTTCGGGCATCGTCAAGGAAGGACCACCTCTCGACGATGTTTCGCCTTGAGGTGCCACTTCCTAGGTCACCCGTCGGCTCTTCGGTGGAGCCTCTCCACTACCAGCACGGGGAGATTCACCCGCTGAGTGGGCGGCAGAAACCAAAGTCTCGGTTTGAGGAATAGCCCCGCGCGAGCAGCCACGGACGCAGGTGCAGATTGGGTAGTGGCCCTCGGCGCATGCCTAGTAGGGACGCCGACTGACGAAATGTGAGTGGAGGAGCCCTCGCCCTTCGCATTCTCCCTGACAACAAAGAAAAACGGTCATATAACGACAAGGCCGAACCATAAGGCGAAGAAAGCGGGCTGACTCACCAGTGAGAGGCTTGCGCCCATATTTCTCGTGGAAGGACGTCCACATACGAATGCCCCTTGTATGGGGGAGAATTGCGTTCACCCACTCGCGAATATCGTCAACGGGCGGGGGAGGTAATCTCTTGGCTGCAAAGCGAAAACATGTCAGCAATATCACCTAGAGAAGAACTATCGGCGACCGCCTTGAGAGGAATCACAAAATAAATAACGGAAAACTTACGAGCAAAGTTCCACGTCTCAAGGAATCCTGCCGGATCTGTTACCAGGTGCTCTGTCCGCACATAAAAGTAACTTTCCCAAAAGCGACGATTAGCCTTGTCGTCCATCTTCACCACTAAACTCTTGGTCCCTCGATGGCGCATGTGGATCATCGTGCCCCGAATGAATTGAGGGGCAAAAATATGAAGCATGTGCCCCAAAGTAATCCCACGACCGGCGAGTTCCGCATATTTGAGGAGCATGAGGAAAAGCTTGTACGCGTACGGTGAGAGTTGAGTAGGGCACACTTCGTAGAAGCGGCAGAACTCCACCACTAGAGAGGGGAGGAAGCGTATACCCGACGACAAAAGGATACGCATAAAATGCGCAGTACCCCGAACGGTGTAAATGCACAATGTCCGTCCCCGTTGCCGGCACCATTTCAACGTGGTTTGGAATTCGCCATTTGGTTTTGAGGGCTGCAATCGCCGCCTCATCCATGGAAGAAGAGACAGGTTCCGGGTCATCACCAGCAGAGCTGTTAAAATCAGTCCATTGCTTTCCCGGACGAGGTAGTATCTCATCTACTATCGGAACCCCCTCATCTTCCATGAACCCTACTCCCTCCCTAAGAGGAAGTGCGCCACTTTCCGGCACCAAAGTTTCGACGAGTCTGTCAGTCCGGGAAGAAGTACCTGCCATTTGTCTAAGTTCGATCGAAATAAACGAGAGTGATGAAGGAAAAGAGAGGATGGCAGCGTCAAACTCTGACGAGAGCAGAAGTGCGAAATCAGAAGTATAAAATATTGAGGAAGGAGGACGTTTGCAAAATTTCTCAGGTGAATCAAAATGTAACAATCAAATAATGGATTCCCCTTATTTATAGGAACATGAATGCCCCAAGCAGGAAACCCAAGAGCCGCCAATCGAAAAACCGAAAGGGCACGAGAAACGATATGATGTCTGGGAAACATGCACCATGATGACGCATAACAGGTATCCGCGATGTCTCGAATCGATGCCACGATTCAGCTCCAAACCAACGTAACAGTCCGACGATATCACTGAAGCATCACGTCACCACCTCGACTTAAGGACCTCGTCCAACGCATGACAGTCAGATTTCTCCTAACCTTCGAATCGACAGAATCCGCCCATTGGGCTCGCTAAGTGGCGAGCCCAGCGGATGGAGGGACTAACTGTATGGTTCAAAATCTGACTATAGGATGTTCTTAAAAAGATCGACAAGGGGCCGACCAAGCCGTGATCACGCCCCGCGGGACGTGATAGCAAAATAACACCTCGGTCATTGCCGAGGTCAAACCGTTGGAAAACTTACATCGCAGAACGAGCGTAGTATTTGGGCGAGCGACGAAGGATACAATCAGCAGAAAGTACGCCGGTCAAGGACCGTTGGATAAAAGGGAAAACTATCAATATATAGAGAGGGGGAATAAAGCCCAAAGGGGGGAGGGGGGGGGNNATGGAATCATCAAGAGGAATCTCCCGGTCATGAATAGTTCCTGGGCTTTCCCTTCTTGGCTTCTACGGTTATGATACATTCCCATCACAGATGTAAGCTGATTATTCACATTCGATGTACAATGATTATTTTAAGGAATATTATACATTCTTGTTCTTCTCCTATGTTTGCATTCGATATATATTTGGATTTGGAGTTAATTATGTTTGACTAAGATTTACCTTCTATATTTCTGATAATTAGTCTAACAAAAGGGTTCATAACACTTTTTTTTGGGTTAACCACCGCTATGATCACCTCTTCAGTAATTTTAAAGATGATCGATGACGTAAAAAATTCAAGATGAAAGTATTTTGTCTATCATATTGCATGGCGTTTCTCTCGAGGTATGAAACTTAAGTTAAGTGTTTTAAAAGGTGTTTTTGGACCACGGCATAATAACAATGTATCACGACGATCGAAAGTGATAAAAAAAATCATGAAGTGTAAACCCATTGTTTGGGCGTGCTTAGGTGCTGGACAAGTTTTTACTTTGGAACATAAGTCCAAAAAACCTCTCCGAATTAGAATTAAAATTTCTAAATAAATATTTAATTTAAAAAAAAAAATCACAAAGGCCAGTTTGTTATTAAAAACTTAACGTCCGATTTTTTTTAAAAATTGTTAGTCCTAATTATTATTCTTTCTCTTTATCTTCTACGGGTAAAGGAAAAGATGATCATTAATTTGCAAACTACAAAGGAAAAACGCATCATTTTTTTATCACTTACATTAGTTCGATTCTTGTAACTGCAGGTTCCTTTTTCACTTTTATTTATTTTAAAATTTTTTTACTCTTTCAAGTTAGGTAAAAAATTCCTACTCAAATTTTTTAAAGTTTCATTAGGTTTTTTAGATGCATTAGTTTTTTAATCAATTCCGAATTCTGATTAGCATCTTAAAAAGAAGCAATTCTGCAATTTTATATACAGTCCCACCAATTTTTTTTTTTGTTGAAATTCTTATGATTTATGTGTAACTTTACCTTCTTTTAATATTATTTATATTAAATATTAAAAATTAAAATTTTATGGTTCTTATACCCAGTACCTCGAAGCTTATGTTTTGCCCCGTATTAGATAAAATATGCGCCCCATGTCTATGACTTTTAATAGAGAAAATCTCACTTTATACCCATGAAATTCAAACTATTTACCCTTAAATACCCATACCTAAACTATTTATTTTTCCTACCTATGCAATCAATACTATTTACCCGCCCAAATGGCTTCCTTATTTAATGTATGTAAAAACTCCTAAAATTTAGAATTTTGAATGCAAACAAAGAATTTGCTATTTTTTCTCTCCTGACATTAAGAACACGATTTTTCTTCTTTTAAATTTTTTGTCTACTTCTTTTTTCGTTAGAGAGTGTTAATAATACATTTAACGAAATCATGTTAGAATAATTTTACAAGTTAAAGATGTATACAATTAAAGTAATAAATATATATTCCATGTTGGATATAATGAAGTTATGGATAATATTTCAAATATTTAATATCACAGTTAATTTTTAAATTTTGAATGTGCTAATATCTTGAACTCTGAGTTCAACTATAAAC